AAAAGTTAACAAGGGCGTATGTCCAGTCCTGCCCAACATGTCAAGCAGTTAATTATATTAATTTCCGCCCGGCCGGGTTTCTAAATAGTATTAAATCCGAATTTCCAAATGAAATAATTGGCATCGATTTATTGGGCCCTTTCCCAAAAAGTCAGTTAAATAAAAGTCGCTATCTCCTTGTTATGGTTGATCATTTTAGTAAGTGGACCGAAATTGTTCCCTTAAAACGAGCCTCCGCGAAATTAGTTACTGATTCTATTTTAAATAAATATATTTTAAAATACGGGGCGCCCCTAAAAGTTATATCGGATAATGGTCCTCAATTTGTAAGTAATGTATTTGAAGACATGTGCCAAAAACTGGGCATACGTCATTTAAAAATGGTCCCGTATCGGCCGCAATCAAATATAGCGGAACGGGTCAATAGAAATATAGTGAAAATTATCCGTAGTTATGTTAAAAATTTTCATAAAAGCTGGGATAACTATGTCAATGAATTTGCTTTCGCCCTTAGGACCGCAAAACATGATACAACGGGCAAAACTCCTGCTGAGTTATTTTTAGGCAGAAAGATTATAACGCCGTTAGATAAATTATTTTATGTGCAACAAAGAGCCCCAGAATTTAAAATGGGTGATATAGAAAAACTAATTAAAGAAGCAAAAAAGAATACTGAAGTAGCACAGAGAGAACAAAAGCTGTATTATGACTTGAAACGACGGGGAGTAACTTATAAAGTAGGGGATGAAGTATTAAAAATTAAGCATTCACTTTCTTCAGCACCAGAAGATAAAACTGCCAAATTTTTCCACGATTTGAAGGACCATATGTCATAGAAAAAATAACTCACGCTGTTGTAGTTGTGTTAAAAGCCAGAAATGGTGAAACCTGCTCCGCAAACATTGATCAAATCAAACCCTACTATGATCGTAATAAAATGCAAATATTTTACAGATCTTTTGCAGGATCCGGCACGGCAGACACCGCAGGCACAAGCTCCAGAGGTGGAACAACGACAAGTACAAGGGCAAGCCATTAAGAGGCAGGAGCAAGTGAAAAGAAAGTTTCCCCGCGGGAAAATTGAAGGTAACAAGAAAAAGAAGCCGTTCCACCGTCCAGAAAAGAGAGCTCACGAACACCCCCAGAATGAAGAAGGGAGAAGGACGACGTATGCAAAGAGAGCCAGGAGAAATGACGGCAACTATAACCCGGCTCTAAAACGGAAGATCTACTCATCCGACAGGACTCTCCGCAGCAAATGTCGCCGAACTGCGGAAGGGCCACCAGCGGCGGAGGAAAAGTTACAAGGAAAATTTGAACGGCCAGCAACGAGGTCCAAGCAGGAACACGAAAGAAGTTTCCCGGTTCCGCCAAGACCAGCTGCCATCAAACGGCCAAGACCACAGGCAGAGGCGAAAAAGAAGGTATTCAAGGGTGACCGAACTGGAAAAAAAAAAAGAAAGCTTCTAGAGGAAGGCACTGAAGGGCGAGCCCGCACACGAAGGAGGATAAATCAAACAACGAATCTCGCTACCTTTCCAGGACTGGGCTCAGAAAAGAATGTCCGAATATCACAAAGATAAGTAAAATTTTATGTTACTTTGCAAACTTAAGTTAATCTTTCATTCTTACTGCAAGTGGCAGATTTCAAGAAGTTTTACCTCATGCGAGGTCTACCTTTATCGCCAAAAGGGCGAGAAATGAGTTGTTACCGATTTTGGTATTATGTTTTTCAATTACTCGCGCGTAAAACTAAAGTTGATGTATAATAGCGAATGTGTAAAGACTTAAATATTGTAAAAGTTATTGTATAAATTTTATTTAAAACATTCTGGCAAGAAAGAAGTTTTAGTCTGAAAGACTTTTTGAAATGTAGTATTTCAATGTAGAAAGAATTGGCACTTGCTTTGAAAAGAATAGAAGTTAACAATGTACTACTAATGTATGTTGTCAAATGCGTAAAATTAACGGCATGTTAATATGTTCTTATATACAATGTGAACTGTTATTTTAAATGTTAAGAAATACCGTGATATGGTAAAAGTGAAAGTAATGTTAAATTTTTTTTTTTATTCGTGTGACTGTAAAAAGACTAAATCATGGTGAATATGTGTTAAAGGTTGAATGAATGTAGTTAGGCTCTCTGACGCTACACTTCAGAGTTAGCCACTTTCAGAATAGTACCTCAGGGTTTAGAGTTGAAGTTAGGGTGTGTTACGAGGTCTTGGTATGTTGAATTTTAACACGTTAGTGTTTTGATTGTATAGGAGGAAGTGTTGAACACGTAGTACATACACACACATAAACACACACATAAACACATTCGTGTTTGGTGTTCTTTTACAACACATGTCAGAGAGCACGGGGAGAGATAATTAAAATAGTCATGAATGAAATAAGAATGTTAAGAGAAATATAATTATGCATGTTACTTGCCATTTCATTGTGTGTAACATTTCATTAAACTAGTTTTCCTTCCAGATCTCTGGAAGGAACCAGATTTGAATAAAAGCTCCTGTTTAGATGCAGTACAGATGAAAAAATTGCGTGTCCTGGGAGCTGCTATTGTAAAAACAAATTTTTTCTTTTAAATTTCTAGTTTCTAGCGAAATGTTTGTAAAAGATTGGCCTCGCGTTAGATTCTAGAGCTAAAAGTTTTCAACAAGGTCGTTTTAGACCTCAGTTTCAAACTAATTAACTCTGGCGGGAAGTATGTAAGGATCTTAAGTTTTACTAACGTTTATTTTATTTTAAATCTTTACTATCACTTCTTATTTTCTACTTCCGGCCAGAATTAATAAGCGTTAACTTATTTATGCAAAGTTTGTCTGGCGAACGCCAAGTATTTAAGTTGTGGCTTTTTGCCAAGCGAGAGAGAGAGAGGAAGGAGTGAGTAGTCGAAGCAGGCCGCTTACCTTAGAAGTTTTACTCAGTTGCTGGTTGCCTTCCAGGCCAGAGGTTTAATCCTCTTGATAATTTTAAACGTATTGTAGTGTTCACAGTTTCTCTGTACTACATACGGCTTCCTGTTAATATAAGGCCAATCTTCCACGTTTATTATTCAAAGTTAGAGTTTAGTTTTATTTTTATATTTTTACGTTTAGACCACAAGTAGTGGGTCTTTGTATTCCGAAGTACGGAAGTTATTGTAAATAGAGAAAATAAAGGGTTTTGTATACCCTTCTTGTGTATCCTGTCTACTTCCCACAGTTTATTGAACATAGCTTTAGTAAGCTCTCTGTTCCGAGTCAGGTCCTTGCATGTTCCCGAAGAAAGTAAGACGGAAATTGAACTGATACCTTATTTATTAATACAGTTTCGCACTACAGCTAAATTAAATTCAACGCAATATCGCAATAATTTTAATGAGCATATCTTAAAATTCCGATACACTCTCGTTCGCGAGATGAATTTTTTTATTTTTCGTACAGTGTTGCCATTGCTCGCTTTGAAATCGTTGAGTTTGTTAATAAAAATTCGTTAAAGTGTTGCAACATATGAAATAGATAATAAAACATATTCTAAATTTGGGCATCCAAATATCCATATTCGGGTGGAGGATTACGTTGTTCCAAATTTGATGGTTCTAGGTACCGTTGTTTTATCACAATGCGAGAAGCATTCATACATTTATGCAGATTCTTCATTATTTAATTTCTTTAAATATGATACAGGGCGATAGTATTTGGTGGCAACGATTTGAAAAGTGATTCGCCCTTTATAGTGAATCAAGGCGAAATGCCAAAACGAAATTAATAATCCTTTTGGGCAAATTTCATTATTTCGGACAATTTTACTGCATCCAGGCTTCTATGCTACGACTCGAGTACGGTGTCGAAGCAACCGAAAGTATTTAATCAGTCTTTGTGGTAAAACGCGAGATCTGGATCCCCGCATCCCTTACTACTTCCATGGCTGTAAACAAATAACTGACGATTTTCAGGTTCTTTCAAAAACTCGCCAACGACGGAAAAACGAAGAAAATGTGTTAATAATATGAAATATTACGTGGCCAACGGTCGGTTACCTATTTTCAAAATAAAGGCTATTCTTTTATAGAATTCTGACTCCCATAATTCGGCATGTTGGGTTTTATTTCTTGCAAGTGAGATTGTTATTTAAAAAAAATTACGATTTCTTTTATCTAAATTTTAAATAATTGAACTTAATTCACACTCTTAAAGAAGTTGTTAGATAATTTCTCAATGTTCAGTTTCAATATAAACCATTTGATATATATATGAAAATGCCATGAGTGTTTATATTTTGAAAACAAAAAAAAAACATATTTAAGTAAATATTTTTTTGGAATGTTTTCTGTAAATGCAGGACTAATCATAGATTATCCGAAAAATTGTTATTCGGGATTAATTAGTCGGATAAATCGGGCTAGATAACATTATTACACGTAATAAAATAAGTAATTATAAAGAGGTTAGAGAATTTTTGTTATAAATATATTTTACTATAAATCATATAATTATTATATATTAATTAATTTCAAGGATGCCGTATCATACATGTTCATTATTGTGTTTGGATGGGAAGGAAAATAGGCTTCATAAAAGTTTATATTTAAAAAAAATATATGAGGATGCATTCTTTTGCGCATAATCAGTGTTGAAAGAAACAAAATTATGCAATGAGAGTGTAATAAAGAGAGGAAAACTGCATATGAATGAGTTTCATTAATTTCTGCATATACAAAAGTTAAAAAAATAAATGAAAGCTAACTAGACCCAACCAGTTTCTATATTTCACTCTGTCGCCTTCTTCAAATATTATGCATATATTCCATATATTGTGTTACTGATATAGCATTTATTTTCATTCATTTCCCATGACTTTTCCATTCTTCTTTAGAACATTGCGAGCACATTTCAGAATGTGTTTGAGAGGCAGTCTTTTGATAGGAAGAGTGAATGAATATGCTTACAAGGTCGCGCACTTTGAACAGCAGAGAAAAAAAATCTCTCTCTCGTGATGTTAAAAGCTCAAAAGAGAGTTTTATTCAGCAAGTTTATTTGTTACAGCTGGCAGGGAAAATTGTGAAAGGGAAGAGGATATAACTGATTACCAGCAGCTATAAAAACATTAATAAACCGTCTGGGCCATTTTTCCGCAACTATGATCACACTTTCAGTGAGTTTTTTGAATTTTAAACTAAGCTTAGCTGCATTAACAAGACATTTTACCGCATGCTACTATTCGTGACTTATAAGCAGATGAATTAAACTATTATTTACGTCTGAAGATCCTAATTGTGTATTCATCAGATTTAGTGTGGAAACCTTCCGAAACTAAAACACAATGGAATTTGAAGACTTACTGCTAGATGTCGGAGATTACGGGAAATACCAAAAGCATTTGATTTTAATTTTCTTAGTCCCTGCAGCTTCCTTACTTCCATGGTTTACCATGAATATTATGTTCATGGTATCAGTCCCTGATCACTGGTGTTATGTTCCAGAAGTAGCTTCGTCTAATTTAAGCATTTCTGCTCAAAGATCTCTAATTAGTCCTCCGGGCGATCCATGTTGTCGTATGTATGATGTAAATTACACTGAGTTTTTGTCTAATGGAATCTACACTGTGCCTAATGATACAGCTACAAAGCCATGTTCTCAAGGTTGGCAATATGATAAAACCGACTACGAATCAACAGTTGCTACAGAGGTAAGTTTATATTGAATTAAATGCTACTTGAAATCAACACTATAAGATTTGAAAGCTAAAACATTTGCACACATAATTCGTTGACAGAAATATATTCGGAAAAATTTACTTCTGTAAAAATCCAAATAAATTAATTTCTACGTCTTGTAAACCGGTAATGGTGAGGAGTAAAAGCTTTACCCTGTTGCAGCTGCTATATAAAAGGGACCGTGTACAAAATTTGCATGTATTATTTTAAACTGAAGGCGTGGATTGCATTTTCATTTCAAGTTGTTTGTTACGCCACTGAAACGAAAATGCTGAGTTATTCTCTCATACGATAAGGCAGTTCTCTATAAACAATCGTAAAAAATTCTGTTTCTGTTCTTTGTTTCTAGTAATTTTTATTCTATTTACTTTTATTTCATTAAATATTTAGATGCAATTTACTTTAATTAAGCTTATTCGTAATTCATAGTGGTTTGTTTAAAGTATTAATTAGTAATTAAGAAATAAGTATTAAAATTATTTCTTATCACTTGTATCTGTAATCTAAATGCCCATATGCTATTTCAAAATGCTCTTTTTCATTTTAATTATTTAGAAATGTATTATTTATTAATTGACATGCGTAAAATACGCTCGAATAGTTTGAGACTAAAATTTGTATTACGTGAAGTAGAAAAGGTACAAAAAACAAATTTTGTTCTCTACTATCATTTAATAAGCTGTTATTTCGATAATTGTTCAACCAATGTATTTTTGGAGGCAGAACGTTGACTAAGTTCATAAAATTGGTATAATTTTTTAAAGAAAACTAAGCATCACTTAATGAAGTAAAATGTTGATGAATTTTATATAAAAATTTAAAAAGTAAATCTTTAGTACATTTATGAATTGACCTAATGTATTTTAATTAATATTAATTAGCCTAAACAGAAGTTTTTTTTTTTTTTTTAATATTAGCATTTTCCTTAAGAATTTGAAATTGAATTGCTAGAAAGCAAAGAAGAAAATGCTGCAACAAGAATAATATTAATTTGGATTCTGTAATTTGCATTCTAGGAATCTTCGTTTTCTTCATAACAAAAGTATACTGAAAACATAAAATGATTGTATATGGCATTTAATTTATGTGAAAATAATTTTATGAAATATTACAAGCATGGAAATAATTCTGATAATTAATGAAGTATTTATTTTCTTAGTTAGTCTTATTAATTAAACTTATTAGTCAGTAGATTTTTAATTTGTGTTAAAAGATGTAATGTATCTACAGCAATAAGAATGGAAAATATTGAGCTAAAATCTTGTTTATATTATTTATTCTAAGGTTTTTTTAAAATACAGTGATGCAGAAAGTTTGAATTTTAAGTCGTTAATTAAGGTAAATATTTTATAAAATGTGTAAAGCCTAATACTTTTGTTGCATCTATCTCTCAAGTAACAATATGTGTGGAATATCTCTCATTCTAAAGTTATAGTTTTACCTAATTTCCAATGATTATCATGCCTTTGCTAAGGACACATATTACATACGTTTATAAAATTGAAATAATTTATTTAAAATAATTACAAATCTTAAAATTTCAGTCATAATAATATGTGTTGTTCTGAATGCAAATAATCAAAGAGTATGTAATAAGACACATTTTCTTTAAATGCGGATATTGGTTGGAGCTAAATAAAGTATACAAAATATTATTATTTTAATAATTTTAATGAAATAAAGCAAAAGAATATTAAAATAATAACTAAAGTGTATATCTGGAAGAGAAATATGTCACAACAATAGCAAAAAGCTCTTAAACACGTAAAAATGGGAGTGACATTTTTAAACTATAAATACTTCAGTATAAATCGACATCGATTAAAAAGTGTTGAGATATTTTTGAAATTCATTTAAAAGTAAATTTTTGTCTGTCTTGTTGTAAATCTCAACTCTCATTGCTTCACGTAACTAGTAATGGGTAGATTATTTGTTGCGGTTTTATGGATCATTATCCACTATTTTTGCTAAATTTTATTTTCTCTGAGAATTTTTGCTCTTGCAAATTTTTAAATCTAAGCATTTGGATATCGGACAGTTATTCAAAATAATCTTTTTCATACCGAATTTGTGAGTAATTAAAATATTGAAGGAAGAAATGTTAATATTAATGCTTCCCATTGTTTACATAAAATTATCTTGTCCAATAAAGCGGATATATATATATATATATATATATATATATACGGATCTGAATTGAAATATTGTCCACTAAAAAATCAAAATTAACGTCTTAACGTCAAATAATACTTTACGAATAGCATTACATTAGTCTATGTTAATTGATTAAGGCAATGCAACTCAAGGGTTATCTGACATAAGACTTGATGCTTTCGTGGAGGACATTTCACGGGAAACTGCCTCGTATCCACGTTCTACATGGAAAAACCACCACTGAAAACACCGCTTGGTTACTGGTCGAGCCAAAGCAGCTCTAAAATGTACCACATGTATGGCAGTGTTGAATGTAGCGTGGAAGGTATTATTTTGCAAAGTACATGTTTATAGCATTTATAGAGTATGGAAAAGACGAAGTTCTAGAGCGGACTCAACCTATGGCTTTTTGGATCTTATAGTGTGAGAATACGTTGTAAGTAATTGCACGTCTTTGTTTTCGTCTAATTGGTATAATTGTAAAATTTAATAAATATTTTAAACTTGAATACAATCTTTGAAATCAGTACTATACTGATAAATTCTGTGCGTCTGATCATTCTATGCACAGCGAAAGCATGCAGTTTTAATAATTTTATTTCCTAGATTAATAAATCGATTTTCTTTCATTTCTCACACTAATATATACTATACAAGTATACTTAAAAATGTTTTTGCACGAATAATACTAGCACTCCTTTTATAAACTAAGATATAATAATAACCATGCGCAACATTTTACTTATAGCTGCTTTTGAATTCGGCTTTCAACAACCACCAGTGTATATAAATAAAGCGTGTTTAGGTTTGCATTTATCTGATTGATATATCTGCTTCCTTTAAAACTTTCCGGAAATTTTTATCACGTAAATTCAGCGGGTGTCACTTTCAGTTTCAGATCGGATAATCAACAAACGTTGTGTTAATCTCTCATAACATTATTTGAGGAAAACGAGATTTTTTTCTCTAATGAATAATGCAGTTAGAAATTCGTAAATTAATCTTTTATCCCAGTGCCTTCTTTTTATAATTATTAATAGAAAATTCGTTAAAGTTTTACAAAATGTGAAATCGATAATAAAACAAATTCCAAATTTCAAAGCTGGGCTTCCACATGGCCGTAATCACAGGAGGATTACGTTATTCAAAACTTGATGGCTACCGTTGTTTTATCACAATGCGAGAAACGTACATTGAAGTGCCATTCAGTTAGGGATAGCAAGGGCTATGCATATTGTGTAGCATTGCGCATCATTTATGCGCAAATGAGGGAGCTGTGGTAACATCATATATAGCGAGTACTGTGGTTGTTCTGAATTAGTTGTTGGAATTGCCAGTATTTGACCCGTATTGGCACAAATTTTGATGCAGACGTGAAACTGTGGTATGACTGGTGTCTGTCGGAGAAGCGTTCTCAATAAATGCGTGCAGCGGTTCGTCCGTTAACCTCAGCTATTCCATACACTAAATGCATGCCTGCAAGCTCCCGATTCGTATAGCGTTCCATGCTCTTCGCATGATACTTACCGCTCGAATGAGGCTACCCTCACTTATTGTAATGATGTGTTCTGGAAAGCATTCTCCTCTACAGCACCCCCTCGCGCCGTACAATGACGTTTCTGCCCAAGTAGCACTGCAACGTCTTAATGACGTTGCAAACTCGTTGCGGGTCATGTTGCAAAAACGTTGCAATATGTCGTCTTTAAGACGGCCAGATATCCACGAAACTCCACTGTTTTTCAACCGCTGCAAAGGTGTCTCTAATATATTGTAATGTATTTTGCAGCAATTTACAAAACAGACAATCTTCTTAGTAGAACATATATTTTATTTCTAGTTCACGGTGATAGACAAATTTCATACAATTCTTAAGTGGCAAAATTTTAATAGTACTCCTAGCTGGCAAAATCGGTGCTACTTTGGTAGACGGTTGCACGGATTTTGGGAAATTTTCGGCAGTTTTTCTTTTGGCGAGTAATACGACTTGCTGGATAAGTTATTTATGGTAACCGATATTTTGTTGACATTTTATTTAAAAAATAATGCGTGTTATTATGCATAAATTCCGTGTTTTAAATATTATTTATGGCTTCTAAATATTAAAAATCAATTTAATTTTGCATTTTTATTTGAAATAAAAATTTTATTCTTTATCATATTTTATGAAATTTTATGCTGTGGATGATGTAATCAGTGACGTCACCTTACTTTAAAAGTAATTGGTTTTAATATCTATAAATTTAATCTTATGTTTTAAACATTATTCATGGCTGTTAAATATTAAAATACAATTCATATTTTCGAATTCCTTCAAAAATGTCTCCTTCAAAGATGAATGTTGTTTTTGATAAGTACCAAGAATTTTTGGTTTCGGAATCAAAAAATTGTCCTTTGAGACTTTATTTTCGCCAGCCTGGCTTTCCTAATCAAAGATTTATTTATAAATTCTTACAAGGGTCAGAGGAAATTTATTTTAAATTTTTGAAAGAAACGTCGCTAATTGTTTCTTCAATGAAGTGCGAAAATGTAGATCACAGATGAAGACCGTTAGAAAGAGCCGATTCTGAGACGGCCGTATATGATATTGTGGTCATGTTGGAAGGAAGAAATAACCGCTGTAACGGGTAAGAAAATTATTAGACATTCCTCCTTTTTTACCAACAATAAACTAATTGCTGTCATTTTAGCTCTAGTGTACGAAGCGTTCTTATTTACTTATTTTAAAGTATTTAATTTAAGTAATATTTTAATTCTTTTAAACGTTGGTATGATGGTTTTTAATTCGATATTCAATTTACGTAATATTTTAATCCAATTA